TGTCTATGTTGAAAAGACAACCAAATTTTGAAGATGGTTAAAAGATAAAGCCGCCATAATATACGTAGTCAAATCTTAAGTTAACTAAATGTTATGCAAAATGTTTACATAACTATGCTAGTTAATCTACATCATCAGAACACGAATCTGATTTATTGCCAGGTAGGTTTTTACACATAGGAGAAATTGTCTTGGTGCAGTGGTGCATAAAAATAAACATCACAAAAAATATACAGAATCCACCCACCAACAGTTACACACCAAAAATAGAGTATTTAAAAAATAAATAAATAAAGATAAGAAAACTGTACAGAAAACAGGAGCTGCATTATGTATATGGCTACCTGTATAGTACAGGCTGGGTTTAAGAGTCCAGTGTAAAGTGGGGGGATGCCCGGCCTTGTTAATGAGGCCCCAGCTGGCAGATGGAAAGAAACTGTTTTGTGGGCCCCGTGAAGGTTTTTGGTCCTGCATGGAAATTTCAAAGAATTTGTGTCCAAGGGTGGGAGGGTTCAGCCACAATCTTGCCTGCCACGCCTCAAAGGATCCTGGAAGGATACAGGTCCTGAGGATGGCAAAGATTGCAGGGCCGATCACCCTTTATAGGCAGATCGAATGATACGCTGCCCAGTCTGGGCCTTGTCCTTGGCAGTGCAGCAGCGTACCCAAAGATGGTGATAGATGAGGTGAGGAATGGACTCAATGATAGCGGTGTATAAGTTCACCCAATCATTGTCTTTGGCAGGGTTGAACCTTCTCCCCAGCTACGGCAGGAAGTACCTCCATCTACTGGGGCATATCAAATTGGCTAGCTAATAACTCAAAGCCAGCTAGACCTACATGGGTAGGAATAGGTTACAATGCACTCCTTGTCTACAAAATTCTAGGCATATAAGTTAAAATCTTGGGTGTTTTCCTAGATAAGCACGTTAAGTTTAAAATAGGTCAGTTGTGTTGTGAAGAGGCAATTACAGCGTTTCGACTGTTTATAAGGCCTAAATTAAAGGCTGATTTGTCCTCATGAAGGAATCTGGAAGAGCCTAGCACGTAGCATATCTAGGTACAGGATTTAGGATGGGTCAATTTATAACCAACCCAAACATTAATCTAATCTTTATTCATTACCTTACCCCTATCCCTAGCTGGGACCCCATAAATGAGCAGTGTTGGGCAAGTTACTAAAATAGTAACAGTTACAGTTACTTCTCTCAAAAGTGATTGAATTACTTTACCAATTTCTGCATGTAAAAGTAATTAGTTGCGAGGGAAAGTAATTGTTGTGTTACTTTAAAATGTCTTCAATTCTCTTATTAATGCTCACAGCTGCCATGTATATTATTTTAGTGTTGCTGTAGAAAAGGCAAATGTATCTAGTTATGAGTCTTATACGAAAGAGTTTATTGCATTGATACAAGATACAACAGCAGCTAAACCTGAGCAGGTCACGGGAAACTGCTGCTTTTTTGCTTCTAAAACTCCTTCTTATATATCAAAACTCCTTCTCAGCTACTGTTACAGCCGTTTCTAAAAAAAAAAAAAACCTAACTTTTGGCTTGAAAATGTTTGTGTATTCCCACAGGTACGCTGGCAGGCTTCACTCTCCTCCAATCCTAGTGGGCACCAAAATTACAGGAGTCATTGTCTAGGCATGTACGGGCTTATACGGGCATATGTGCCAGACACTCAGGCCATTTCCGACACAGTCATTTCCTCAAGCTGCCTGCACCTGTGGGACTAAACAAGACTGCTATATTCTTGACAGAATTACTTTAAACTGTATTTTCAAAAAGATTACAAACATACTTAAATTTAAGCATAAGAAACACAACTAAGCACACAACAATCTCAGTCATTATTATAATAGATTTGTTAGAATGATTGACATTTTCCCCAACAAAGCTACACTTACTTTCTTGGTTAGTAGACAGGAAGATTTAGTAGAAGAGGAACCCACATGGATTTACACATTACCAAGGTTTGCTACAGTAGTTATTTAATAAATAATTATTTGATGAACAGACTAAACTGTCTTGGGCTACCATAAGGTTGGATGATAGTACGCTTAGATGTGCTGCGTTTGTCTGCCATCTTCTACAGTTTCACTACTACTATTTTTATTTAAGACAAAAGAAACAAGTAACAAGCCTGTTTAAATTTAAATTTTAATTGTGTTTTTTAATTGGAAAACTTAACTACATTACTAGTTATCAAAACCACATCAGGACCAGTCCCCATGAGGACTACTAGCCCCCAAGTAGTCCCATGGTCCCCAATAGGTAACAAAAATGTGAAGACACACACACACACACACACAGCAGCCCACCACTTGCAACAGTTGTATCAGGCAGATTGCAAAAGCCCGAAACTGCCTGAGATGTCTCAAGGGGATAACACAATTAACCCTTAACCCTTTTCGTTATCATATGAAAGAAGATTATTTTACGCACTGCTGGCAGCAGGTGCACAGTAGCGTCATATGTAGCGCTCCACTGGATAAGTCAGTTTTTGCAAGTTGTAAATCCAATACAAAGCAATCAGTCAATACAGAGTACTAGTAGAGTGTGTGAAAGACATTTGATTTGTATAGATTGGAATATGTATAATCAATATAGTAATACCTATAATGGGCATAAACTTATACATTAAAGATGTTGGTTTTTTTTCAAATAGTAGCCTTGTCAGAAATAATGGTGCCAGAAACTGAGAGAGTGTCTTCTGCTTATCATGCACTTGCAAGATGGATGTCGGAAATAATGGTGCCAGGTTATTATGCACCTGCTAGGTCAAGACTGAGGACTGTGGACATCATTAGATACAGGGAACGGCGGCAAAACGCCTAGGAAATGTTCAAAAGAGAAATAATGGTGGATAGAGATAAGAGTAAAATTGGGAGCAGAAGCAGTAGGAGGGAAATCCCAATTAAGCCCCCAGAAGGAGGAGGTTGTGAAATAGCATAAAAGAGAATCTAGTGTGAGATGAAGACAGTCGCCGTGGATCTGCTCAGTTTACTTATTCTGCTTTGAAAATTACAGGAAATCTATACTGAATTCACTTTTATTCTCTTTTTATTTAAAATTATTTTTGGGGGGCTTTTTGCCTTTGATTGACAGGACAGCTCAAGATAGGAAAGAGAGGGGATGACACGCAAAAAAGGGCCACAGATCGGAGTCGAACCCACGGCCACAGCAGCAAGAACTCAGCCTTGGTACATGGGGAAGCAGCGCTACCAGGTGAGCTTCCAGGGCTCGCGAGTGTTTCACTGAAGAAGAACTAAGCAGCGAATGAGGAACCTGAAGACACCTGGCAATAGTAGTACAAAATGTAAAGCTAACGTACATAATACCCTTCACTGCATTGAAAAATGCAATGATGGCTCCCTGGACGAGACACTGCAGACCTTTTAGGTAGAGGGACGATGGTGGTTTTCTTGAAGCAGGTGGAAACACTATCATGTGACAGTGATATGTTAAAAATGTCAGTAAAGACATCAACTAGCTGATTGGCACGTTTTTAGTACGCAGCTGTTAGGATGTTATCAGGCCCAGCAGCTTTACTCATATTCACTCTCAGCAGGATTCTTCTCACATCTGCTGTGGATACTGAGAGTGGCGGATCCTCTGGAGGCAGAGTAGACCTGACAGCTGACTCTTTGTTGAGGAGATGAAAGTGAGTATAAAATGTGTTACGCTCATCTGGCAACGTGGCCTCACATATGACGGAGCGCTCCAGTTTCTGTAGCCTGTGATGGTCTGGATCTCTTGCCACATATCTTTGGTGTCGAGGTCTCTCTCCGGTCTCCGGTTTACCTCTTGATGCCAGCTTGTCTAACTTGGACTGCCTCGTATGAGCTTCAAATAAACTTTTTAATATATTTTCCGCAGAACTAAGGACTGGGGATTTTGTCTAGTATGAACAGGAGAAACGATTACAGCACGAAACACCTGTGTAAATGTTCATATGGGAAGCTGACTATGGTTTTAAGACTTGGAGGATAGGTTCACATTCTTCCAAAGTGGACTGAGGGTGAGTAAAAACATTACTCGAGACCATCATTTTCCAGGTAGTTTTATTTGCAATTAATATTAATTCTTCATCAAGGATGTACAACAGATTTGTGCCAGATATGTAACCACAGTACCATACACTATGTGGCGAAAAATATGAGGAAATTTCACCCAAACAGCAGCTATATGTAATAGTTGAACATGTGATTGCAGGGATTTGTTCCCATTCAGCCACAAGAGCATTAGTGAGGTCCAACACTGATGTTTGGTTGACCTCAAACATGTTGGATGGGGTTCAGGTCAGAGCTCTGTACAAACCAGTCAAGTTCTTTCACACCAAACTGGGAAAACCATTTCTTTATGGCTTTGTGCTCGGGGACACTGTCATGTTGAAACAGTAAAAGGGTCTTTCACAAACTGTTGACATGAAGTTGGAAGTACACTCTTGGCTAAAAGTGAATTGTGTGCTGTAACATTAAGATTAGAGGCCCGTCCACATACTTCTGGCCATTTAGTGTATGAAGCAAATTCTATCGTACTATATGTCTCACATGGAGCTGATGTGCTAGCCTTTCAGTAACCTG